TCACCTCTTAATCATTCTTAAAATTTTATTACCGGTCTCACAAGAGTAAAGCCCACCTCCCCACCTACAAACGCTATCTTAATCCAGTACGTTCCGGTCCACACCCTCAGACACTTTTCTTTAATATCTGTTTCAATATTATCCTTCAGTCTACAGATACATCTCCAAAGCAGTCTCTTACCATCAAGTTTTCTGACTAAAGTGTTGCCTGCATTTATCTCCCCGTGCGTGCTACGTGTCCCGCTTACCTCATTTTCCTTAATTAGATCGCCCTAAGAGTATTAAGATTACGAATTATAAATCTCCTTAGTAATCTTTTCGTTATTCTGTTACTTCGTCTTTCTTAGTTCAAAATACTTTCAACACCCACCATCTTTGTTGTTCCCATAGAGTGATTAATCACAATTCACAGCCATGCGGCTTATAACAATTTTGTATATTTTAATGTTTGTCGAGATTCTAACCGAGTAACCGCACCGCCCCAGGAACACAAATCAGACTAGTTACCTTTGAATTCACTGTATGGCACGAGGAAATAAATTATAGATATCCGCGGTTTGTTGTTTATTTAACGACGCTGTTAGTATCTCATACCATATGGCTTCGATGTAGGGATGTGATTGGACTGAGCTTATTTGAAGTGCTGTACAACTTTTTCACTTTTAGCAGATACTTATGAGCCATAAATTTATTCTGTATTAAATTCTACGTTTAGCATCCGATGTTGTGCCACTTTTAACGAAACCAGAACCGCTCCTGTCCTGGAAGCTGGGACAGGGTCGTCTCTCACGTGGACCACCTGTAGAGCCTGTCGTTGAGATGACTGTGTGTTCCAGCGTCAAAATTCATTGTCAACTTCATCGTTTATTACTAGCTACAAGGTCATGCATAGTGTTTGTAAATTACGTATGGGGGCTTGGCCCAAGTTTTTAGGGAGAACGGACATGTTTATTTTCCCATTTCCTACACCTTATAATTAAGTAAGATAGGCATTGCGGTAAGTTTTTTGTTACTGTCGATTGTGCGCCGAATGATAAACCTGTTGAATGATAAATATGTACCAGTCTGAACCCTGAAGAGATGAAAAGAAGACAGTCGGATATTAATTAATGCTTTCGTCCTTCAATTAACACTTCTTAATGACATCTGCTCAATTTGAATGGCCGGAAAATTATGAAGGCCTGCGGGGGATTAGTTCTTTTTTTATTTTTTGTTGGATTGTTTTGCAAGTTATGGCGTCATACCCATGACTTACAAATACAAATCTCTTCTCTTCAGAAGTTAAAATAATTTTTATTCTTGATGTCTGACAGAACATCGTAATGAGGTTGCAGACTTGGGTGCATATACGTTGCAACGTTAAACTACCATGGTACAATGTTCTGTAGGCCTATAGTTAAGTATTTTACGTTATATTTTTAATAGAGAAATGTTGAGTCAGTTACTTATATGTACTATTAGAAGACTCGTGACAGCTTCCATTTTACAAGAAAATCGGGCACAATTGAAATTTCTTCTGATCGAATTTAGCTTGAGCTAAGTGGCATCAGCTTTGAGAGGTAATTAGTGTAAGATATTCAGTTATTAGTGCAGAATTCGTCGTATGTTGTATTTCAGATTTATTACATTATTTTTCTAGCTGATTGCTAGATTCGTTTGACATTTATTTAAAATATACTGCATTTTTTATCGAAAAAAATAACAAATGCTGAAATACTTCAAACTTATATCTAGACAATCTACCATAGATAACAAATTATGGAACACATTTTATAAAATTTCTCTCGACTTTACGTAGCTTACGTACAGGTGATGTGGCGTCCAGTAACATAACTTTCACACACGCCATGCACTATTTTAATCTATTTTACTTTTAATACAGTTTGTCAAGAGGCATTTTATCCTCAGAGAAACGTTTTCCTTGTTCATCGAGTTAAATCTGGTTCATATCTTTAAGACCTGTTTATTTGAGATATACTATAATATTGTCAACCAAAAGCCCAGGTTTACCAATTGAACTCTTAGCATGAAGCTTTCTAACGACAATTTTGTACATTCTTCTTGTATCTTCAGTGTTTCAGTTCTGTCAGCTTGTTTCAGCTTAGCAATAGAAGATGAACAATTTCAACTGTCATTCAGAATTTAAAACTTTTCACATTTTAAGTTACACCGAAAACAGGATACAAGCGTGAAGCCTGAAAGAAGCGTTCTGGTTTCTCGCCTCGGCGTGTCATGCCGAGTTGTGGCAGCACTCGTATTATTACATCGCGTGTTGTAACTGCTTTATAGGCAGTCGTTTTGGCTGTCACGCAATGTGTGTTGCATAATTTTGTGGGCGTAGGCTTACGTTTCTTTTCTCTGCCCCCCACCCCACCCGGGGTGTGTGTGTGTGTGTGTGTGTTAAAGGAACTATTGAAATGTAGAGGCAGTGATACGTTTCTGGGAATTCGTTATTTGCGTTCCATAAACCACAAAGTTTGTTATTTTGAGATTTTTATTTTTACTCGTCGCTTTATATGCACTGATTTATGACGTTGACATTGAGAACGACGTGAAAGACAAATGGGCCAACGCCTGTCATACCTCGTGGCACAATTTTCGTCCTCTCTTCTGGTCTGTAAGAAATAAATTATTCGTCTGTCAGGTTGAGATAATGAGAAAATTGCAGGATACAGGTGTCACGTGTTTATGTAACAAGGGACTGCTTATTAATAAAGTCTTCTTGGGCTATCAACCGTGTTAGTTGGTGATCAATCGCCGACGTTTCGAGGACACAGATGATCCTCGAAACGTCGGCGATTGATTGATGAATTGCCATGTCGAAAAATGTGTATCGAAGATCCTGAAGTCTATGTAAAGGCGCTCAGGTAGGGTCTGAGGAAAAGCTCATAAACTTCATACAGAATGTGAGATATTAAGATTCCAAATTCATACGGCGGCAAGTATGAAGACGTCTGTCTTCTGAGATGTTCCATCGCGTAGTCTCATAAAAACTGACCGACGTTTCAGAGATACTTACTGCCTCCATCGTCAGGGCTTACTCATCGCCCTTGCGATGGAGGTAGGAAGCATCTCTGAAACGTCGACCAATCTTTACGAGATTACACGGCGCAGCATCCCAGAAGTTAGTAATCGTCATTTTAGAACATGTCTCGATCTTATTATATTAATTATGTTTGTAGTATGAAATTTGTGTTGTGAACCTTTACGAGAGATAGAAAACTCTGGCTAACTAACTAACTAGAAGGCTTACGGAACCCGAAGGTTCATCACCGAACTAACCAAAGCCCTCCACCGGGCCCTGTCCTGGGCCACCAATATCCAGTCTCCTTCAACTCCTATCTCCCATAGATCCCGCCTGACATTATCGTCCCATCTACGTCTAGGTCTCCCCAACGGCGTCTTCCCTTCAGGCTTCCCGACCAATACCCGGTGCATACCTCTTGCCCCCATCCATGCGTGCTACATGCCCCGCCCATCTCTTTCTTCTTGACTTTATCACCCTGACAATGTTGGGGGAGGAATACAGATTTTTAAGCTCATCATTATACAGTTTTCTCCATGCACCATCGTCTTCTTTCCTAGGCCCAAATATCCTCCTCAACACCCGATTCTCGAACACCTGCAATCTGTGTTCCTTCCTCAGAGTGAGAGACCATGTTTCGCAAGAAAACTCTGGCTATTGAGTAGAATGAGGCCTGTTGTAAGTATGAAATTTAAATAGAATCCGACTCATTTGTTATTTTAATTGTAACTGTTTTTGCAGCAGGCAGGTAACTGAATGAAATGTCGTGCTGTAAGAACAATGATTTATTATTCCTTCAAATGACCCCTGCCGTAAAACGTGAGTAAAAGAAACAATTTATTAGTCAACAGAAGAGCTGGTTTTCGATCCCTTCTCTGGGTTTTTTTTTGGCAGCTACCCAAGAGTGTATTACGTATTGGCGCCGAACAATGGAGTTGTGAAACTGATTTCTGGCTTTATTTTATTTTTCACAATAGTACTTCATTAACCGAATAATTCCACAAATATATATTATTTAATTTATTTTTGTTGCATTATGTAAAAATAACGGAAATGTGAACTTTTTTTTTGAACATTTCACCTCTCTTGTGACCGATTTAAAACCACAGTCGTTTATTTTCAACACTTTTATTACGCTCCGTCTTATAAGGCTGAAGTTATACACGGCAACGTAAGGTAACTGACCAAGTTAATTCCTTTAATACTGTACCGTGAACAAATGACAGGTGTAATGCGATAAATACCACATGACCGTATTATCGATAGTGAGACCCCAACAACCATACCAAGAAGTACAACTGTATGGAACTTTTAGAGTCGCTTGGAAGCTTAGTGATTCCTGCGTATGTGCTGTAAGAACGTATGTGATTGTGAATGTGTGTACGTACGTGGTTATTTTATGTTATCGATTGTGGTAGTTTGGGTTGTGACGCCTTTTTAACTTATATGTGATTTATGGACGTTTTGGAGAAGTGTATCACCTCCATCTACCCTGAAGAAAGAGGCAATAAGTTTCCTCCAAAACGTTGGTGACCATATACAAGAAATGCGACATGACAAGCCGGAAGGTAACAATTGACATTTTCACTGCCACAGTCACATATTCACGAGAATCTCAATTTCACAACATTACGTTTCTATTTGATGTAAGCCCTAACAAACAATGTTTTCTTTGTTTTGGCACAGACATTCAAGTCCAGTAGCATGTATGGATGAAATTTTTATACAGAATTATTCTTACAAAACATTCTATATCAATTTATTTCCTATAGGTTTGCAACGTCGAGTTACCTCGTTGTTGCACTACATAATTTAATTCCAGGTGCAGGAAATTACAGGAAGATTACGAACGCTTTCCTTCTGAAGAGTAATTTGAGATAATAAAATGCATTGTAATTAAGTTACAATTTCCATAAATATTCCTTTGAATTTCTCTTGTGTGCTTTGGACTAATCGCTCGTACTTTGTGTGACAGATGTGTGTGGATGTTAGCTGCTGTTTCATTCCACCTCGATTAAGCATCCCATGTACGCAACTTTCACATTCACAACATAATCGGATTTCGGATGCGTGAAGTGATGTGGTCAGTGAAAGCGGGAGTTACTTTCACCTCAGCGACCAACAGAAGGCCACTGGACGAGGGTGATAGTGCTCGCCTGTTTGATGACGACAGTGCTGCTCTGTAGCTGCAGAAAAACTAAGTGGATGGTGGAATGTTTGTTATTCGGAACTAAATGCTTTGATCCTTGTTTATTTTTGAGAACAACCGACTTACTAACTCCGTGGCACAGAATCTTCTTGACCATCTGATAGTTATTCAGCTGGCCAGTAAATTTCCTGTCATGGAACTCGAAGGTTCATAACCGTTATCACAAAATCCTGTTCTACCCAGTTTATATCTTTATAACCTGCTTCTCTGAGTACAATGTTATTTTTTTTTTATATCTTAACTGCGTCATGTTTGTGTGAATGTTAATTTTGTTCCCTCATCTGTCACGTAAGCCTAGACCTACAGAAAGGCATCGTTTGTTAACTTTCCATACTAACTTGTTTGTGAATTTGTTTCGTCTCCTGTGCGTACTGAATGTCCTGTTCATCTCGTCTTTGTTTTTATTATTGCCTTAACAAGTCGTAAGGTACAATTTGGCTGCACGCGACAGAGACAAGCGACCGAGGCAGGCGACAGAGTTACGAGACCGAGACTGGTCGCTTCCTGTCTGCTCTCTGTACAATCGTATGAAGTACAATTACGAGCGCGAGACAAAGACAGGCGACAGAGACAAAGCACAGGAGACCGCTCTCG